GGTAAAGAGAAATCTAATAGCAAGTTATCTGAAGCCACTTCTCAAATTCAAATGCCAGATTTCTGGTGGTGCTTGTAAAGCTTCTTAAGTAACGGATGTATACTTATGTAGCCACGTCATTGGTTTTCCAATCTCTTTTTATTAGAGCGGTTTTCAATTGAGTGTCGTAAAACCGAAACCAAACCAATTTCTTACCATTAGACTATTCAGCCAATCTCAAACAAAACCAAAACCAAAGTAATTGTCTAATTACTTTCGACACTCAATTGAAAACCACTCTAACCAGGGGGTGACAACGTCGATTACAAAATGATTTTATATTTTATCTAAGAATATCGCGATACTCTAAACTCATCTAGTTTGTCAGTCTGTATATCAAAACTATCTCGAAACTGAATATGGAACACAGCGTAAAATTCGACATATAAATTTTAAAAACTATCCGTCGCGGTTGACGTCCTGCGCACAACGCAGAATTTGGTCATTTCACGTTGTTGTTTTACAGAGGACAACAATTATAAAGAAATGTACCAAGAATTATAATGTAAGTGCACAGCCATTATATTGCTCACTAAACCCAGTTTTGTTTAGCGACGTTGCTGTTTTCTTTGTGGTTAATTTTCTTAAACTTCCTACTATCAGTATAAACCGTGTATTTGCTATCGCTCAAATAACTCGGATTTATAGAATGGTGCTTAGTCAGCCAATATGTAGTACAAAAAATGTTGGTCTGGGCTCCAGTTTCATTTCCGGACGGGTGTCCGCGCCTTACTCCAGTTCCTGCACTGGTTAGCGGACCGTTACCACAGTTCTATCGTTTTTGAGCTGTTTATCTTAAATTGCATTTGATCTAAAAGGTGCGCATAGATTTTTCCTTTCGGTTTTGAAATAGGGAATTGTTATTTTTAAAGAAATCTCTCTCCTTTGAGGAGGAGATCGTGGCAGAAAAAAGAGCGCCCGCTGGGATTGATGAGGGGTGGGGCGTTTTCCATCACGCACTTTGTAGTTCTGTCTCAAAAGGAATTTTTCTGAAACAAACGGCTCTGCAGAGGAGAGGCGAGCGGATATTCTAGAACGATCGACATATCACAAAACGTTTACTGCTTCGAACTGACAAGAGAGAAATATAGAGTAACCACGAAGGAATTTGCTAGTTTTCGTAAAATGCGATCAAATGTCATTTCTCGAGTGACCGAAGAAAATCATCATCAACGATTTTATAAGATAACAAATAGTCGACCGTTGAGGCAAATTTTCTGCATGGAGATGGATTAATTTTTACGATGTCTCCTCTAACCGAGAAGGATTCTTTTAATAGCTCAGCCCCGGTTTGACTAGAACTTAATGCAAAAATGTTCCTTAAAATCTCAAAATTTTCCGTTCTAGGAAAGAACATACCCCCAAGCAAAAATTCCTGAACTGTTCCAGAGCAAAATATGACCTTCCCACGCCAAGTTGCACTGCATCTCTTTCGGCCTGTCTTCGTACGGCAAACGACCCGACGCGTTTCTCGTTGCCCTTGTAGTCTCCGCTATTCCGAGGGCTTGGTTCGTGTGTCGCTTGTCTGTACCATCCCGTGTCAAACCTTTGCGGACCACGCCTCCATGCAAGAACGCGACGTCGGCATAGTGTTTACAATGAGGCGTGTCTTCTTGTGCTGTATCTGGTTCCAGTCGGGCTGTTTTACATACAACGACGCTCTAAAATGCAAATAGACCGAGGTATTTCTGCCCATGCTGTGGTTCAGATTTCTTTTGTCTATACCCACGTGCTCAAATGTTTTTCTTTCGCTGTTGATCACTGTCTGTCGATAAATGAAACTGTCCCAAATATTTACACATATATTCTTGCCTCACCTTCCATCAAAACTCTCGCCGTATGACGCGCGAAAAGAATTAAAAAGCTTAAAAGTACACATAGAATTCATCAGGTTGGCGTTGATTTGTGAAGATAAGAAAGAAAACAACACTTTAATCCGAAATCCAATGACAGGCTTTCTAATTTCAATGTTTAGTACCGCTGGGATAACAAGCTATTGAAAAGACCTTGACATCATGCATAAAAGAAAAATAGAAATCATCTTTGTCAGGAAAATTATCGGGTGTCTTATTAAAAACAGTAGCTGAATATTACAAATTTATTTTTAGCGGATTTGGCAATGATCCCCGAAAATAACGAAATGTTTCGTTCATGTATGCATCAGAAAGAAAACCTTATCAGATTTTTTCTCATTCTGTACCATGCCCGTCAAGATACAATATTGAAGTAATTAGAAATCGACTAGTTCCCGATGACCTCAATTATGTCCGCGGTGTTTCTTCTAAGCGCAACGTGACAAAGTTCTGACAATGCTGATCTGAAGCTGCCGGGTGTTTCCTCGGTAACTTCTTATAGGTATTAAGCAAAAAAAGTAGCCTTAAAAGCTTAAAAGCGATTTTTAGATTTTGTCCATTAGCTCTATCAATTTACGTAAATGGTTTTCTTGAAACATGTTTAACAGTTCCATTTCTTTCCCGGTTGTTATTCATTTTCAAAAACTGCAAATTTCAAGTTTTTCCTGGGTTTTACTTGAGCACCCATAATCAAGCACAGCATATTTCCTGTTTCGCTTTTAACAAATTGACACCCTCAAAAGTCAGTTTTGTTTTTCGTGTTTGGTTCTGAATGCGAATAAAAAAGCCAGTCGCCCTAAAAGGCTTCTTCAATTTCTTGCTCAAGTTTATCTTATCATTTTGCCGGGAAATTTACTACGCTTGCGGGATCTCCAGATCTACTTTCTACTGGGACTCCGAAGCGGGAAGAGCAACCAGCGTATTTTCCCTTTTAATTAATACTGGTAGTAAATAAAACCCTTAAAAGCACAGAGCACGTTGCGAAAGTAGAAAGTGTAACAATATAAATGTTCTTTCCAGAAAGACATTGTAAAGCCAGCTGCGCGCCATCGGGTTCTTCGGAGTTGTATGGCAAACACTTTCCTCTTGAAATAAATTCACGCTGAGATCAGTGCATCTCAAGTTCCGTGATAAAAACTGTGAAAGTGGCATGGGCTCTGTTTACCTTTCACTCTCGATTGGAGATCGAAGTTGGAATAATTCATGAGAAAAATATAATTTGTCTCCGGCCGAGGAAACAGAATTTCCTCTGGCGACGTAAGTTACCGAAGCAAGCGTTAAAAAACCTGGAAATAGATTAGAAACGCACGCAGAGATTTTGAAACTCTCGTAGCGTTTCGGCTTCGTTCAAGATATTCCTGAGCTAAACAGTCGTGTATTTACACGTTTCCAAACAATACGAAAACACCTGAAAAGGCCCGAAAAGGAGAAAAGCTTTTAAAGGTAAGACTTTCTGTTTGCTTTAATCAATTTATCAACACAAACTACATACGATACATATCACTCAAGCTTTATGGATTACCCGTCCTCTCTGCATTTTGACTGAAAACGCTAGTTATGAATGGTCCAGTGACAATTGTTGTCAGAAGGGAAAATACTACGAACCGCGAATGAATTGAGAGAAATTCGAACTTGATCAACAAAGCACCAATTTCGTTCAGTACTCCGTCACGTAACGAAATAGACAGAAAAAGGTAAGAAATATTTATTGCTTTGCAATCCTAAAACTGACAAGGACTCTGTTTTCTCGATTGAATTGTGGCCCTTGGAATTTATCATGTAAAAAACGTGAGTATTCGACCGCGGCGCTAATTTTAGGTTGTATTTCTCATCAAGTACATCAATTATAAATGACGATAACTCGGCGGGAAGGTTTGTGGAATAAACAACACTAGTCGTATGCTACACTGAGAGCATAACGCTTTCTACATTGAGTGGTTTTAAAGACTGTCTTCGTAAGATTTTACAAGAATGGTGGAAGAAAACATCTTCGGTTCGAGATGCAGGCATAGATACGGAAGTGGACAGAATATTTTACAATGAACTTTTTAAATGAGAAATAAATTAAACGATGGTATCTTTGGTACATATTTTCCAATACGTTCTAGAGGACAGAGGTACTTTGCCACCAACTGAGACTCGAAGAAAGGATTTGCTGAATATAAATTACTTTGAAACGACGGAAAACAGTTTTTACGTTTTCCGAACGAAAGATTCAATAGAAAACAATATTCTTCTCACGATCACCTCGTGCTGTGCTAAGCCAATCAGAATCGAGAAAACGTATGGACAGCTGGTGCTCACGTTTTCCGCGGGAAAATCAGCCTAGCGTAAAATCGTGCGTGACAGGCTTGAAGTTGGAGATTTCGCTTTTTCTTCTCTTTAAGCAAACAGATTACAAGAGTTCATTGAAACCAAGCTATTCTTGTTTAAAGCACGAACGAACTGTATTAACACGGCTAAGAGTGCTTAAGTGGAGTCTGTTTTAAGGAAATCATATAAACTTAATGAGCTTTTGCATATTTTAATAGACGCAAATTTTCTTTTCGACTTTTGTTTCAAATTGACTTGAAAAAATTGATATATGAAGGGAAATGAACGATTTTTTTCTTGCAAATTTGTTGGCGAGAGGGCTCGTAAGTTTGTTTAGTATGTGGGGTTTGTGGCTAGAGTCAGTTTAGACTTATCATTAAACAGGTCGCTTGTTGATGTTTAGGGGCATTTCATTGATGAATGGAAAATATATGGGCGGATGGTTTTTCAAAACCGCAATATTTAAGCGGACACGTGTTTTTCGCACGCATTATGTTCTCACCTACTCGTTCATCCCTATAGGCTGAAATTTTCTTAATTAGTGGGCGTCATTCTCAGTGTAACCTAAATTATGAAGGACAGCCTGCCTTGGAAGAATTTTCAGACTCACTTTAGACCACATGAAAATGGGAAAAAAAATTTAGTTTGTTTTCGAACAAACGACAAACAACCTAAGCGTGTCTGAGTCATTGTGTCGCTTGAAAATGCATTGAAGATCTTGAGATAAATTCTCCCAACAGGCATCTTGTCAAATAGCGCGTATCAACCAATCAACGCGCAGCTAATTTGCATCGATGTAATTAGAATGCTTACCGTACTCCACAACTGGTGTTGTTGGTTGGTTAGTGTGGGAACGGAATAAGGTTGGACAGGATTTTATCGGTAATTTTTCTCCGCTCACACTTTACTGCGTAGCTGAAACGAAAGGAGTGAAATAAATACCTTTTCTTCTTCCTCTATTTAGGTTTTTCGGGACAAAATGGCTTCACAGCCATCCCAGAGACCACGTCGAAATGCTTCTCCTGCATCGAGCTCAAAACTACAACCTATGCGGGCCACTTTACCATTTTCGCTGATAGCTACTCCAAGTCCTACCCGTGGAACTGGTTTAAGGAGGCCAAGTCCATCATCTTCGCCAGTACATGGCAGTGAAAATGGCCTTAAACACCGCAGAAGTTCGCCAGAAACACGTGGGTCTCCCGAGCATCGGCGGAGTCCATCTTCTCCATCTTCGTCGAGCTCGAAAGGTTAGCTGACGTGCTTTTCAAATCTTAAGCTCACTGTCATAAACGGCCAATAAACCTTAGAATAGTTGCTGGCTATGACCAAAACAGTTTTATTAAGACAGCTGTTATAAAAATTACATTTATTCTTATCGTTTAACTTCAGTATGGTGGTACACCTTTGAATTTCGCTTTTCATCTATCGGTCATCTTCTCTCTGTTCAGTGTATTGACCTACACTGAAGGCCATTTCCGTTGGTTGAAAACAGTTTGGGTTGAGCTTAACTGACAATTGAAAAAGAAGGAATGTCATTTTCTTCGCAGGTGAAAGAAGCAAACTTATGAAAAGTAATTCGGGCGCAATAAGAAGAACGTCTTCGTTAGACGCCATTTCACCTTACATGTGTGGACAGTGGCCTAAAGGAGATGTTGGCGGGCCGAGTATGTGCCACAAATCAACTCAGGTTAGTTAGGTACCGCTCTATTAATAAAACATTTCCCGAAAATGGCCAAGTTCAGGCTAATTACACGAACGTAGACGTGGGAAGGTCGAAATAAGCTTGAAAGAGTTACGAGCAAGCAAAATAAATTTACTCTCCGATACTCTTATTGAACCACAGCCATGACAACGAGGTTAATTCCCAAGCAACTCTGAAATTTGATGATCTTAGCTATAAATTAAGTTTGTTTTAACCCGTGTGGTGGAGAAGTCCTTACAAAAGATATTTCGGAAATGTTGCAAACAAAACCCTCAGGAAGCGAAATTAAGTCAATACTAATGCTGATTATTTGGTTAGAAAGACTAACCAATTTGATTGAGGGTCAAAGAATCACGCAGGAAAAGTCTCTCCTTCTGACTGGTATTTAAAAGTACAGGATTTTCGGAGCTTTTGTGGTGTAAAATATTAGCAGTGAATTGACTTTTTCATCCTTGACAGTAACATAATTTAACAAGGTAAAGAGCTAGAATGGCCAGGAAGGGTACATTACATAGCTGGGTAGGATGGGGTGTCTCGAGTTCTCTTGATCAGTGCCTTGAGATTTTTAGCTTTTGGCACCGAATCTAAGGCAACTGCTTAAAATTGACAGAAATGTGCTAAACAACACTTCAGCAACTCTGAGAATTTGTTGTTGTCGAGGTTGCCTTTACAGCACTGTAAACAGAACTCTACGCACTGAATTGCTTGTGTCTCATTATGGAACCAAAGTCACGACCTCTTAAGAAGGGAGGGCAGGTAAAACAAACAGTTTTTCAGTTTCCACAAAGGGCTCCACAAAGACTGTCTAGGTGTCTGGGTTATTGCTTCAATACTTTAAACCAAGACTGTTCACAAGACGGTATCTAATCATAGTAGGGACTCATTGTGCTCTATTGCAAATTTAAGAATTTGGTTTTGTCGACGAGGTGCGGTGTCCAAAGTTGAGTAGACCTCATGGAAAATAAGAGTGTTGCAACAAGTTATTTTTTTTGTTAGGAACTACAGAGAAAGCAGTTGGAAAACTTCAATCTTAGTCATTTCTAAGCCAAAACTTGGATGGCAATGTGTACATCACCATGTTCTGTCAGAGAATATTCTGTCATGAGGCACCCAATCAGATTTGCCAATTTTACATAGACCTTGACAAGTGTCTTTTAATCACAGATGGAATGTGATCATGTATGTGTTGTTCTGAAAAGGAAAATTATTCTTGATTTTTGGCTTGAAAATGCCCAAAATTAAAGGAATGTTTAGAAACGTTAAAACAAAGAGTGATTTCCATGGTTTTCATTAACCAACAGTCAGTTGAGCTGCATGTTGTTGACTACAGTATTTGGTATTTACTCTTAGATGACTTTCGGTTTTTAGCTAGTAATATCATTCATCAGAAACGTCTTTGTGATCTAGCATGATTTTGATTATTCCCTAATCATTATCATTGGTGATCTGCTCATAGAAATTACCTTGAATGGAATGAGTCGCTATTTTTGATATACTTGTAAAAATTGTAGTCGTTGAACCGCTATCTTCTGTATTATCAAGACTAAAACTGTTAGTGATAGTCAACTTTGTCATGCCTGGTCGACTCCTCACTCACTGAAAACTCAAGCCCATAGTCCAACATATATTGTTAATTAGTATCTTTGGAATTCGAGGTCAGGTCCTGGCATTGAGAATGAGACATAAAGGTGTGACTAGTGTTTGTGTGAATGAACCCATGTCTCTCTTCTCACACACAATTCTTTGACAGTAATTATCAATCGGAGACAATAAAAGGAAGCTGTGGCACTGTACAGAATGTTTTGGGTGAAATATCCGTGAGCGGTGTTGGTAATGTGGTTATTTCACCTGTGTTAGATTGAGGCTAGCTGAGGTTAGGTTTTGGCATTATTTCCATGTTCGGAGGGGTCAAAGTGTGTAAACCTTCAAGGGTGTTAAGTGTCAAGGTCTCAGTAATTTTAAGAAGCACAAGTTTTTATTCTCACCAGTCAACATTAGTTAGCTTGCATATGTGGGATTTTCTTTACAGTAGTAAACCTCATTGACCATGCACAAAAAAGTTGACGTGACAAAAACAATCATTAAAGTTGGAGGGTAACCACAATACAAGGCATAAACAAGCACAGCAGATGTGCCTTAAGATTATCCTTCACTCCTAATTAAAATGTTATGATGGGTAACATGGAAATTTTGCTACCAAGTAGCAATGACAATCTTCCAGTTGGGCTTCTTTTCTGAATGCCTTGATGTTGTGTCGCTGACATTTTGCAGAGAAACTACACAGTGACGTACAAATAAGGGATACCCATTATAACTTGAACATCAGGTCTGCTTCTTTTGTTTTGTCATCAAAATAATTCAGAAAGCTGTGTCCTCTTGATAGGAAAATATGTATTTACAGAAACAATAAACTGCAATAAATATGACCAGCAAAATAGTTAGTTTTTAAAGCGAAATATTGATAATCATTGACAACACAAACTTCAAGCCTGCCTTTTTTTTTTTTCAATTAAAACATGCCAGCCAGCTCCAAATTGACTCGTCCGTACACACGTCCTGCGAAAATAAAAGAAGCCATTAAGTACAACACGTCTGTTTACTTCCCGTGACATCCGATCACAAGTATTCAATGGACTCCCCGTTGTAGGATTGTAGTTTGTAAATCGCCTTAGATTGGTAATTATAGCCTGCAAATAAGGTAGTCGACGGATTTTCCTCAGAACTGATGGTCGTGCTCCGCGGGCCGTGCATGGCTAAAAACTTTCGTCTGCTTCCGACTCCTTGTCGCAAGGGTTTTAATAGTAGTTTTGGTAGGTGAGAAATAAAGTTTGCGTGTTTTTTATGATATGCTATAATGATTTGCAATTAACAAAGGGACGCCGAACTCTTTTGAAAATGGATTAAGAGTGGCGTGCACTATTGATGGTTATCAAATCCACGGAGACATCCGCCTCACCGCATTCGTGTGAACGATTGCAAGTCCAGACGTCCATTTCATTGGAGGATCAGATCCTTAAATCCAACAATATGTCTACATTAATTTTACTTTAAATCAGAGTGGAGAAGTTATGAGTTGATAGGTATAAGCAATGGGGGCTATTTGGGATGTTTCTGTCGTTCTATTCTGTGTCTTATAGTGTAAGTATATAGTTTCTAATTACAAGGCGCCACAAGAGATTCTTCAAAATTGCGTGTTACTAAAAGGAATCAAAAGTGGAACTCAACATAGAAATTTCAGAATTTTCCCCTCATAGATCATTTTTACAGTGGAAATTGTTACTTACGAGCTAATCTGCGATAAAAAGCTCCTCAGTCTTTAGATGGAAACTAGAGAAAGATAGGGAAAAAGAAATCTTACGAAATATAGGTAAAGAGAAATCTAATAGCAAGTTATCTGAAGCCACTTCTCAAATTCAAATGCCAGATTTCTGGTGGTGCTTGTAAAGCTTCTTAAGTAACGGATGTATACTTATGTAGCCACGTCATTGGTTTTCCAATCTCTTTTTATTAGAGCGGTTTTCAATTGAGTGTCGTAAAACCGAAACCAAACCAATTTCTTACCATTAGACTATTCAGCCAATCTCAAACAAAACCAAAACCAAAGTAATTGTCTAATTACTTTCGACACTCAATTGAAAACCACTCTAACCAGGGGGTGACAACGTCGATTACAAAATGATTTTATATTTTATCTAAGAATATCGCGATACTCTAAACTCATCTAGTTTGTCAGTCTGTATATCAAAACTATCTCGAAACTGAATATGGAACACAGCGTAAAATTCGACATATAAATTTTAAAAACTATCCGTCGCGGTTGACGTCCTGCGCACAACGCAGAATTTGGTCATTTCACGTTGTTGTTTTACAGAGGACAACAATTATAAAGAAATGTACCAAGAATTATAATGTAAGTGCACAGCCATTATATTGCTCACTAAACCCAGTTTTGTTTAGCGACGTTGCTGTTTTCTTTGTGGTTAATTTTCTTAAACTTCCTACTATCAGTATAAACCGTGTATTTGCTATCGCTCAAATAACTCGGATTTATAGAATGGTGCTTAGTCAGCCAATATGTAGTACAAAAAATGTTGGTCTGGGCTCCAGTTTCATTTCCGGACGGGTGTCCGCGCCTTACTCCAGTTCCTGCACTGGTTAGCGGACCGTTACCACAGTTCTATCGTTTTTGAGCTGTTTATCTTAAATTGCATTTGATCTAAAAGGTGCGCATAGATTTTTCCTTTCGGTTTTGAAATAGGGAATTGTTATTTTTAAAGAAATCTCTCTCCTTTGAGGAGGAGATCGTGGCAGAAAAAAGAGCGCCCGCTGGGATTGATGAGGGGTGGGGCGTTTTCCATCACGCACTTTGTAGTTCTGTCTCAAAAGGAATTTTTCTGAAACAAACGGCTCTGCAGAGGAGAGGCGAGCGGATATTCTAGAACGATCGACATATCACAAAACGTTTACTGCTTCGAACTGACAAGAGAGAAATATAGAGTAACCACGAAGGAATTTGCTAGTTTTCGTAAAATGCGATCAAATGTCATTTCTCGAGTGACCGAAGAAAATCATCATCAACGATTTTATAAGATAACAAATAGTCGACCGTTGAGGCAAATTTTCTGCATGGAGATGGATTAATTTTTACGATGTCTCCTCTAACCGAGAAGGATTCTTTTAATAGCTCAGCCCCGGTTTGACTAGAACTTAATGCAAAAATGTTCCTTAAAATCTCAAAATTTTCCGTTCTAGGAAAGAACATACCCCCAAGCAAAAATTCCTGAACTGTTCCAGAGCAAAATATGACCTTCCCACGCCAAGTTGCACTGCATCTCTTTCGGCCTGTCTTCGTACGGCAAACGACCCGACGCGTTTCTCGTTGCCCTTGTAGTCTCCGCTATTCCGAGGGCTTGGTTCGTGTGTCGCTTGTCTGTACCATCCCGTGTCAAACCTTTGCGGACCACGCCTCCATGCAAGAACGCGACGTCGGCATAGTGTTTACAATGAGGCGTGTCTTCTTGTGCTGTATCTGGTTCCAGTCGGGCTGTTTTACATACAACGACGCTCTAAAATGCAAATAGACCGAGGTATTTCTGCCCATGCTGTGGTTCAGATTTCTTTTGTCTATACCCACGTGCTCAAATGTTTTTCTTTCGCTGTTGATCACTGTCTGTCGATAAATGAAACTGTCCCAAATATTTACACATATATTCTTGCCTCACCTTCCATCAAAACTCTCGCCGTATGACGCGCGAAAAGAATTAAAAAGCTTAAAAGTACACATAGAATTCATCAGGTTGGCGTTGATTTGTGAAGATAAGAAAGAAAACAACACTTTAATCCGAAATCCAATGACAGGCTTTCTAATTTCAATGTTTAGTACCGCTGGGATAACAAGCTATTGAAAAGACCTTGACATCATGCATAAAAGAAAAATAGAAATCATCTTTGTCAGGAAAATTATCGGGTGTCTTATTAAAAACAGTAGCTGAATATTACAAATTTATTTTTAGCGGATTTGGCAATGATCCCCGAAAATAACGAAATGTTTCGTTCATGTATGCATCAGAAAGAAAACCTTATCAGATTTTTTCTCATTCTGTACCATGCCCGTCAAGATACAATATTGAAGTAATTAGAAATCGACTAGTTCCCGATGACCTCAATTATGTCCGCGGTGTTTCTTCTAAGCGCAACGTGACAAAGTTCTGACAATGCTGATCTGAAGCTGCCGGGTGTTTCCTCGGTAACTTCTTATAGGTATTAAGCAAAAAAAGTAGCCTTAAAAGCTTAAAAGCGATTTTTAGATTTTGTCCATTAGCTCTATCAATTTACGTAAATGGTTTTCTTGAAACATGTTTAACAGTTCCATTTCTTTCCCGGTTGTTATTCATTTTCAAAAACTGCAAATTTCAAGTTTTTCCTGGGTTTTACTTGAGCACCCATAATCAAGCACAGCATATTTCCTGTTTCGCTTTTAACAAATTGACACCCTCAAAAGTCAGTTTTGTTTTTCGTGTTTGGTTCTGAATGCGAATAAAAAAGCCAGTCGCCCTAAAAGGCTTCTTCAATTTCTTGCTCAAGTTTATCTTATCATTTTGCCGGGAAATTTACTACGCTTGCGGGATCTCCAGATCTACTTTCTACTGGGACTCCGAAGCGGGAAGAGCAACCAGCGTATTTTCCCTTTTAATTAATACTGGTAGTAAATAAAACCCTTAAAAGCACAGAGCACGTTGCGAAAGTAGAAAGTGTAACAATATAAATGTTCTTTCCAGAAAGACATTGTAAAGCCAGCTGCGCGCCATCGGGTTCTTCGGAGTTGTATGGCAAACACTTTCCTCTTGAAATAAATTCACGCTGAGATCAGTGCATCTCAAGTTCCGTGATAAAAACTGTGAAAGTGGCATGGGCTCTGTTTACCTTTCACTCTCGATTGGAGATCGAAGTTGGAATAATTCATGAGAAAAATATAATTTGTCTCCGGCCGAGGAAACAGAATTTCCTCTGGCGACGTAAGTTACCGAAGCAAGCGTTAAAAAACCTGGAAATAGATTAGAAACGCACGCAGAGATTTTGAAACTCTCGTAGCGTTTCGGCTTCGTTCAAGATATTCCTGAGCTAAACAGTCGTGTATTTACACGTTTCCAAACAATACGAAAACACCTGAAAAGGCCCGAAAAGGAGAAAAGCTTTTAAAGGTAAGACTTTCTGTTTGCTTTAATCAATTTATCAACACAAACTACATACGATACATATCACTCAAGCTTTATGGATTACCCGTCCTCTCTGCATTTTGACTGAAAACGCTAGTTATGAATGGTCCAGTGACAATTGTTGTCAGAAGGGAAAATACTACGAACCGCGAATGAATTGAGAGAAATTCGAACTTGATCAACAAAGCACCAATTTCGTTCAGTACTCCGTCACGTAACGAAATAGACAGAAAAAGGTAAGAAATATTTATTGCTTTGCAATCCTAAAACTGACAAGGACTCTGTTTTCTCGATTGAATTGTGGCCCTTGGAATTTATCATGTAAAAAACGTGAGTATTCGACCGCGGCGCTAATTTTAGGTTGTATTTCTCATCAAGTACATCAATTATAAATGACGATAACTCGGCGGGAAGGTTTGTGGAATAAACAACACTAGTCGTATGCTACACTGAGAGCATAACGCTTTCTACATTGAGTGGTTTTAAAGACTGTCTTCGTAAGATTTTACAAGAATGGTGGAAGAAAACATCTTCGGTTCGAGATGCAGGCATAGATACGGAAGTGGACAGAATATTTTACAATGAACTTTTTAAATGAGAAATAAATTAAACGATGGTATCTTTGGTACATATTTTCCAATACGTTCTAGAGGACAGAGGTACTTTGCCACCAACTGAGACTCGAAGAAAGGATTTGCTGAATATAAATTACTTTGAAACGACGGAAAACAGTTTTTACGTTTTCCGAACGAAAGATTCAATAGAAAACAATATTCTTCTCACGATCACCTCGTGCTGTGCTAAGCCAATCAGAATCGAGAAAACGTATGGACAGCTGGTGCTCACGTTTTCCGCGGGAAAATCAGCCTAGCGTAAAATCGTGCGTGACAGGCTTGAAGTTGGAGATTTCGCTTTTTCTTCTCTTTAAGCAAACAGATTACAAGAGTTCATTGAAACCAAGCTATTCTTGTTTAAAGCACGAACGAACTGTATTAACACGGCTAAGAGTGCTTAAGTGGAGTCTGTTTTAAGGAAATCATATAAACTTAATGAGCTTTTGCATATTTTAATAGACGCAAATTTTCTTTTCGACTTTTGTTTCAAATTGACTTGAAAAAATTGATATATGAAGGGAAATGAACGATTTTTTTCTTGCAAATTTGTTGGCGAGAGGGCTCGTAAGTTTGTTTAGTATGTGGGGTTTGTGGCTAGAGTCAGTTTAGACTTATCATTAAACAGGTCGCTTGTTGATGTTTAGGGGCATTTCATTGATGAATGGAAAATATATGGGCGGATGGTTTTTCAAAACCGCAATATTTAAGCGGACACGTGTTTTTCGCACGCATTATGTTCTCACCTACTCGTTCATCCCTATAGGCTGAAATTTTCTTAATTAGTGGGCGTCATTCTCAGTGTAACCTAAATTATGAAGGACAGCCTGCCTTGGAAGAATTTTCAGACTCACTTTAGACCACATGAAAATGGGAAAAAAAATTTAGTTTGTTTTCGAACAAACGACAAACAACCTAAGCGTGTCTGAGTCATTGTGTCGCTTGAAAATGCATTGAAGATCTTGAGATAAATTCTCCCAACAGGCATCTTGTCAAATAGCGCGTATCAACCAATCAACGCGCAGCTAATTTGCATCGATGTAATTAGAATGCTTACCGTACTCCACAACTGGTGTTGTTGGTTGGTTAGTGTGGGAACGGAATAAGGTTGGACAGGATTTTATCGGTAATTTTTCTCCGCTCACACTTTACTGCGTAGCTGAAACGAAAGGAGTGAAATAAATACCTTTTCTTCTTCCTCTATTTAGGTTTTTCGGGACAAAATGGCTTCACAGCCATCCCAGAGACCACGTCGAAATGCTTCTCCTGCATCGAGCTCAAAACTACAACCTATGCGGGCCACTTTACCATTTTCGCTGATAGCTACTCCAAGTCCTACCCGTGGAACTGGTTTAAGGAGGCCAAGTCCATCATCTTCGCCAGTACATGGCAGTGAAAATGGCCTTAAACACCGCAGAAGTTCGCCAGAAACACGTGGGTCTCCCGAGCATCGGCGGAGTCCATCTTCTCCATCTTCGTCGAGCTCGAAAGGTTAGCTGACGTGCTTTTCAAATCTTAAGCTCACTGTCATAAACGGCCAATAAACCTTAGAATAGTTGCTGGCTATGACCAAAACAGTTTTATTAAGACAGCTGTTATAAAAATTACATTTATTCTTATCGTTTAACTTCAGTATGGTGGTACACCTTTGAATTTCGCTTTTCATCTATCGGTCATCTTCTCTCTGTTCAGTGTATTGACCTACACTGAAGGCCATTTCCGTTGGTTGAAAACAGTTTGGGTTGAGCTTAACTGACAATTGAAAAAGAAGGAATGTCATTTTCTTCGCAGGTGAAAGAAGCAAACTTATGAAAAGTAATTCGGGCGCAATAAGAAGAACGTCTTCGTTAGACGCCATTTCACCTTACATGTGTGGACAGTGGCCTAAAGGAGATGTTGGCGGGCCGAGTATGTGCCACAAATCAACTCAGGTTAGTTAGGTACCGCTCTATTAATAAAACATTTCCCGAAAATGGCCAAGTTCAGGCTAATTACACGAACGTAGACGTGGGAAGGTCGAAATAAGCTTGAAAGAGTTACGAGCAAGCAAAATAAATTTACTCTCCGATACTCTTATTGAACCACAGCCATGACAACGAGGTTAATTCCCAAGCAACTCTGAAATTTGATGATCTTAGCTATAAATTAAGTTTGTTTTAACCCGTGTGGTGGAGAAGTCCTTACAAAAGATATTTCGGAAATGTTGCAAACAAAACCCTCAGGAAGCGAAATTAAGTCAATACTAATGCTGATTATTTGGTTAGAAAGACTAACCAATTTGATTGAGGGTCAAAGAATCACGCAGGAAAAGTCTCTCCTTCTGACTGGTATTTAAAAGTACAGGATTTTCGGAGCTTTTGTGGTGTAAAATATTAGCAGTGAATTGACTTTTTCATCCTTGACAGTAACATAATTTAACAAGGTAAAGAGCTAGAATGGCCAGGAAGGGTACATTACATAGCTGGGTAGGATGGGGTGTCTCGAGTTCTCTTGATCAGTGCCTTGAGATTTTTAGCTTTTGGCACCGAATCTAAGGCAACTGCTTAAAATTGACAGAAATGTGCTAAACAACACTTCAGCAACTCTGAGAATTTGTTGTTGTCGAGGTTGCCTTTACAGCACTGTAAACAGAACTCTACGCACTGAATTGCTTGTGTCTCATTATGGAACCAAAGTCACGACCTCTTAAGAAGGGAGGGCAGGTAAAACAAACAGTTTTTCAGTTTCCACAAAGGGCTCCACAAAGACTGTCTAGGTGTCTGGGTTATTGCTTCAATACTTTAAACCAAGACTGTTCACAAGACGGTATCTAATCATAGTAGGGACTCATTGTGCTCTATTGCAAATTTAAGAATTTGGTTTTGTCGACGAGGTGCGGTGTCCAAAGTTGAGTAGACCTCATGGAAAATAAGAGTGTTGCAACAAGTTATTTTTTTTGTTAGGAACTACAGAGAAAGCAGTTGGAAAACTTCAATCTTAGTCATTTCTAAGCCAAAACTTGGATGGCAATGTGTACATCACCATGTTCTGTCAGAGAATATTCTGTCATGAGGCACCCAATCAGATTTGCCAATTTTACATAGACCTTGACAAGTGTCTTTTAATCACAGATGGAATGTGATCATGTATGTGTTGTTCTGAAAAGGAAAATTATTCTTGATTTTTGGCTTGAAAATGCCCAAAATTAAAGGAATGTTTAGAAACGTTAAAACAAAGAGTGATTTCCATGGTTTTCATTAACCAACAGTCAGTTGAGCTGCATGTTGTTGACTACAGTATTTGGTATTTACTCTTAGATGACTTTCGGTTTTTAGCTAGTAATATCATTCATCAGAAACGTCTTTGTGATCTAGCATGATTTTGATTATTCCCTAATCATTATCATTGGTGATCTGCTCATAGAAATTACCTTGAATGGAATGAGTCGCTATTTTTGATATACTTGTAAAAATTGTAGTCGTTGAACCGCTATCTTCTGTATTATCAAGACTAAAACTGTTAGTGATAGTCAACTTTGTCATGCCTGGTCGACTCCTCACTCACTGAAAACTCAAGCCCATAGTCCAACATATATTGTTAATTAGTATCTTTGGAATTCGAGGTCAGGTCCTGGCATTGAGAATGAGACATAAAGGTGTGACTAGTGTTTGTGTGAATGAACCCATGTCTCTCTTCTCACACACAATTCTTTGACAGTAATTATCAATCGGAGACAATAAAAGGAAGCTGTGGCACTGTACAGAATGTTTTGGGTGAAATATCCGTGAGCGGTGTTGGTAATGTGGTTATTTCACCTGTGTTAGATTGAGGCTAGCTGAGGTTAGGTTTTGGCATTATTTCCATGTTCGGAGGGGTCAAAGTGTGTAAACCTTCAAGGGTGTTAAGTGTCAAGGTCTCAGTAATTTTAAGAAGCACAAGTTTTTATTCTCACCAGTCAACATTAGTTAGCTTGCATATGTGGGATTTTCTTTACAGTAGTAAACCTCATTGACCATGCACAAAAAAGTTGACGTGACAAAAACAATCATTAAAGTTGGAGGGTAACCACAATACAAGGCATAAACAAGCACAGCAGATGTGCCTTAAGATTATCCTTCACTCCTAATTAAAATGTTATGATGGGTAACATGGAAATTTTGCTACCAAGTAGCAATGACAATCTTCCAGTTGGGCTTCTTTTCTGAATGCCTTGATGTTGTGTCGCTGACATTTTGCAGAGAAACTACACAGTGACGTACAAATAAGGGATACCCATTATAACTTGAACATCAGGTCTGCTTCTTTTGTTTTGTCATCAAAATAATTCAGAAAGCTGTGTCCTCTTGATAGGAAAATATGTATTTACAGAAACAATAAACTGCAATAAATATGACCAGCAAAATAGTTAGTTTTTAAAGCGAAATATTGATAATCATTGACAACACAAACTTCAAGCCTGCCTTAAGTTTTATGTGGACAACTTAATGAGTTCATTTGTGAACAAGGATCAGATTTTACTCTGACTTTGGTTGTGTCGTGGCCTTGTTGTGTTCCTTAAGTCAGAGAAAGGAAGCAATTTGTCACTGCAAGTTGCAAGAAATATTCTTTATAATTTGTCTAATGCATTTAACGTAATTGCCCCAGTTATTAAACCAATATGGCAAGCTGGAAGATTTGACAGAAAGATATACATGTTGACTGATTAATAGTTTCCCTATGACAGCTTACTTCAGTTTGCAATTGCATTGAGGAAATAGTTTGAATATATGAGATAATATTTATGGTATATTGTGTTTTATTTAACACTGCTTTATATTTTGGCCTTTCCAAGGGTTTAAATTACAACAATAAAAGAGAATAAATTTGTTCTTTTCACATAGCTATGTATTGAATTCTCCATGGTGTCCTAAGTTGATGTTAAGATATGGAATTTCGTTCACCAATGCTGTAAATTTGATCAGATGTTAGTCAGCTTGTCTTCAGTGTGGGAGAATTGGAAAATGAACCCTAGAGTCTTCAGTAGGATTTGAACTTATATATGACCTCTCACACACTCGTCAGATGCTCTACCACTAAGTTGGGTGGCAAAATATGATTTATTATCCAAAGGGTATTCATGTATATGCATGCACATGTAAAAATAATTTCCAGAATTCTTGTACGAATAATTCAAAGGGAAAAACTCATTATCAAAATGATTAAAAATTTTCAGATGGAGGTTGGAAATATTAATCATACTTTTGTATAACAGTGGTTTGAGATCCAAGAAGGTATATTTAACATGTATAAGGTGTATTTTAAGTACAATCTTGGAAACAAAGTCCTGATCAGTGTCTGTTGTTGCTGTTGACAAATCAAATAGTTATTTAAGACTTTTTGGCTGCACAAGGAGTGCAGATTCAGTAAATGTCTATCTCTTTTATGCTCCTTTTCAACTTGTGTACTTTCTTAGTCTAAGAATAACTGATTCTCTCCTCTATCACAGTGTCCCTTCACAATGAAATGTTGGAGAAATTGCATACTGAAAGAACTGCTTTAATTCTGGACTCTAGATTGAGCGGTCAAGGTTCAACCCCCTGGCTGCTTTCACTGTGTCAGGTTCTTGAGCAACACTCTCCCAGTACCTCTCCCCACCCAGGTTTAGAAATAGGTACTGTAAAACTGAATGCTTGGTGTAACCCTGTGATGGACAAGCATCACATCTAGGGGGAGTACAAATACTACTAGTCACCTCATGCAAGGGAAACCAAAGATAAGGACTGACCCAACAAGATACAACGCTTGAACAGGGACTTTATCTTCTAAACTGCAAATGTAGTATGTATTTTGTGTGGACTACAGTACAATGCCTTGGCCCTTGTAATTTTGAGTTTTCATTGTTCTTTATTGTTTATTTTTTACAGACACCAGTTTGGGAAGAAAGTGATGTAGAAGACAATTTAGGACCAAGGAATAAAAGATCAAATTCCCTGGGTAGTGGAGATCAAAAAATAAAAGAGGTATGTACATTTTGTTCTTTTTTGATGGCAGATTCATGACTCTCACTTGTATTAGAGGAGGCAAAATAAATTTACAGAGAAGAAAAATTAGACAGTGAAGTTGTCTTGTCGATAGCGAGTGGAGTATGTCTTTAAATCAGTAAGATGGATTTGTTGTGCTAAATATATGGAAGATAGAAGCTTCAAGATATGAAGGGAACCCATCAATGAATGAAAAGATCCTTCGGGTTGGGGGGAAGAAACCAGGGATGAAAACTTAATTTTGACATACTTGCTATCTGGGCAATCAATCTTGGAAAAAACTGGGCTTAAAATTTTAGGTCATATAATTAGTTTCAAAGGCAACACCCTTCATACATACTGGTAGGAGGATTGTTTTTACTGCTTCTTAATCAGTGCTTGAAATTGAAAAAATATCCAAGTTGTCCTTAAATGCAGGACAACCTAATCCCTGGCTCTGGTTGCCCTTAAAATATTGTATCATTTGTTGCATAATTATAAATGTAAATGATGTGAAGTAAATAACATAAGTGACGCGAAGTGGCATGCAATGGCTTCCTTGAAACATTGTTCGAGCAGGATGTTTGCACTTTCGCATTAGCAATTTAATGCTTAAGAGAAATACAGAAATTCAATGCCTACAGGTTACATATCAAAGACCAGCTGCCAAACATTCAGCAGGGAATGGCAAACAGAATAAAGTCCACTGTTTTTCCAAAGATGCACCATTTGATTACCCTTAATAATGGCCTAGTTCATAACCCTGAAAAAATAGCTAGCTGATTTCAGCTCCGATTAATTAACAGAATTTTCTTACCTGTAAATATATATTGACAACTTGCGAAGTACTTTGCCTCAGAAAAGAATGATAACCTGTGCACGATAAGATTTCAGGGAGGTCTGGGTTTGAAAACATGGCGGTTTGTGGCTTCCATCAATGAATGAAAACACCAGATTTAGACCTTTTATATACCTTTATTTTATTATTCGGTTGGACTTGTTCTTTTGTTATTCGGTTGGACGTGTCATTTTCCTCGGACAACCAGGCCTTTAATTTTACAGAAAAATGGTTGTCTGGAACATTCTTTAGTTGTCTTGGATGACCGGACGACTGCTAATTTCGAACACTGCTTAATGTGTGTATCCATGCATATTGACTAAACTAATTTTGGCAGTTTGGTGGATCTTTGTTACATTTGAACCTACTGTTATGGCTTAGCTCCCTGACTCTTCTGTACCTTAGTGTAAAGCGGGGGGTGCAGAAGATAATCAAAAGACTTGTTGTGAGAACTTGGAGCATTTTTTCTGCATAGATTCATATCTTCTATTTCAGAGACTTAATTTTAATATATTACCTAACTACATTTCACAGAAATTGAAACAACATTTACAGCGTACTAAACATGGAAGTAAATCAAGTCAAACATATGGTCGCCAATCTCCCCTTCACGGTGACCACACTGCCATTCCAGCCAGCAGGCTTCCACAGTCAATTCCCATCTCAATCCCTATGACATCAAGACCATCAGAAGGGCCACAGAAACGGAGTTTGGAGGGCCTTAACTCGGAAATACAGAAACTTGTGTTAACAGATACTCAGACTGAAAGAGTGAGTTCCCTTTATGTTGTGAGAATTTGGAGAGAAATTTTTATGCTCTATTGATATTATGGAAAACTTTTCTTTTGTGGTTTCACACTTTGAAAATCCAAATACACCAAAATGGTTTAGGTTGAAGTAGAGCCTATAGAATACAATGTAGTTGGAAATTACCATTTTTACACTGCCTCTTTTGGCTGTGTGTGTAAAACTGATCATGTGTTTGGAAACTTTTACAGTCAAATTACTGTTGAACAACAGCCCTATGAGATATACATGTTTGGAAAGGGCTTGAATATATTTCATGTTTCATGCAGCTGATTCAGGGATAATGACGGTTGTTGTTTTGTGCCAGAATCTAAACAGGTCTGTTCTTTAGCAGGTAATGGAGCAAATACCAGATGGCCGTAAAGCTCCTGTGGTAGAGATAATGTCTGGAGTGGGACCTTTTCGCACAGTAGATATTCACACACAGACATCTGCTGACAACCAGGAAGGTCAAGATAGTGGTGGGAGTGGCAACAGCAGCAGTAGAAGTCATTCTGCATCTCCAACATACCCCATAATGCCTGGAGCATCTGATTCACGCCCATCATCAAGGTGTTCATCTGGAGGAGCTGCAGAAGCTGAAGAGAATGTATCTCCTGAGCTTCCAGTTGGTCCTAAATATGCATCCTCACCTAAGCCCAACAATTCGTACCTCTTTGCAAGAGAGCCCCCTGATGGAGCTGAGAAGGTGCCTTTGCACGTTGAAGATGCAGACAGGTAGGTATTGCACAAAAGGCCCATAACTCTGGCTCATTGGTTTTTTTCCTCTGTAGTATGAAGTTACCTGCTGACAATTAGTCATTACTTTTGCTGATTTTGTTGTTCTTCCCTTTCATTCAGGGCCACATCACCCTTGTTTCTTGGGCCAGACAAGACAAAGGTGAAAATCATCAACATCAGTGCAAGGTCAGCTTTCTCGGCCTTCTCTGCCCTTCCCTCATACCCCAAGATGGCAGTCACTTCTCCAGCAACTGCCAACCAGCAGCTGTCACACCTGGAAGCCTCTCAGTAAACATGGAACTGGAGGACAGGGACAAGACAAAAGACCATGAAATCTGACATGGTGTGGTCAAACCATTAATATCTAAAGTACTTAAATAAATACTCTAATTTATTGCCTCATTAGCATTAAGAATGACAACCACGGGTTCTCCTCAGTGATCTTCATGTGTATTTAATTTAAATCCTTTCATCCCCTTGTTTAATTATCTAGCTATGCCTAATTTATGAAAAGCTATTCTAACTATTTTAACTGACAGATTTTGGTCAAGTGCATAGTGTTGGGTGTGGAATTGTTTGGTAACTTGGTTAAAAAAAAAAACGGTTTAAATATTCTACAGCGTGTCTCCTTTTTACTGGATTAAGGTGGCCGTTCTAGGTGTTTCTTTTCCAGTGTTCTGTGTTTTGTTGGTTTGTATAGCAAGAGGAGAAGTTTTGATTGTATCCAGAGTACTTGTTTGTCAAGGTCCAGTATTTTGTGTAATATTAATACAAGGGTCTTCAAAGAAGGAGGAAAGATATAGGTATATTACAGCAATGTCAGTTAAACCTTCTATTACTTAAATGAGAGAAACAAAGTGATACTTTTATTCATTTTGTGAAGAACATGGATTAAAAAAGGTATGACATCTTTGCAAATAGTGAATTTGACCTACACCTGGTCCTTTTTTCAACAAGAACACTCTTTCACTGTTTTTATTTAGAAGAAGACTTAATAGATATCAGTTCTTCATAAGGGTATTGTTAGTTTATTTTGAATACCCTGGCACACTGACAAGCATACAAAATTTTGTTTTAAAAGTTCTTTTCTTTTCGTATGGTAACTTTTTGCATGTTGGATTTCTTTCTCAAAATTTTTCAACAAGTCTCTCTTTAGCCCAAGATTTTGAAGCTTTCTTGAATCCCTTTTTATATAAACCTGACTACCTTTGATGGATCATTGTGTCAGGAGGAGTTGCCTTGCCATTTGAAGATTGTATAGTAACATTATTCAGTTATTGTATTAAGAGAGTGTATCATATTCATAAATATTAAGTGTAACTTAATGAAAACAGACCTTTTGATTATAACACATTAAGTAATTTAGGAGTTTTATATAAAATGGCTATTCAGCATTCATTGACTTAATTCTTAATGTATACTACAGTTCTTGATGTAAATATTTTATGGATTAAGATGACTATATGATACTTGTATATTTTTACACTTAAAGAGACTCAAATCTGTTGTAGATTTTTTGAACTGCGAAGACTGTTCAAGAGTTTGTGTACTGAGACTGACTGGTGTGAGACTTGACCGTATCACTCTTAACTTTGATCTACTGGCTAGACCAGGGTTATCTGCAAACCACATAACTTTTGCCATCAAACTAGAGATAAACTTTATTGCTGGTGAACGTTCTCTTATTTATCATGTGCAATTGCAGTTTTTTGTGGGGAGATGTGTTTTAGTTGTTTTTCTTCAGCGTTTTGAAAGTATTCCCCAGGTGATGGGTGATTTTTCAATATCTTAAGAAACTGGCAATAATTATATATCCATGTCGTAAACTAACTTAGATGCTCTCGACGTTTTAGGAAGAGCATTTCCTTGGACATATATTTTGCTAAACACTTATAATTAATTGCATTCTTATTACCACATACTCGGTACTAATAAATATTGAAACAGAAACTGCATAGTATCCGGTTTTTTTTTTGTTCCATAGTCTTTCACCCTCAAGCTTGATAGACTCTCACTACTAGCTCATTTTGAAAATGAGTGATGGCTTGGGTAGTTGGTCATTGGGTGAGCAAATATGAGAAGAGGGAACACAAAGAGGTGTGAGGAATTTGGTAATTTAAAGTCAAGGGAAGACTAAAAACCAGGTTCCAGATGTTTGAAGGCTGGATAACTCTATCCACCAGGTAAATTGCTATCCACCTTGCTGTCTGCTGGATAGTGATTTCTTGGGTGGATAGCATTGTCCACCCTTCGAACAATCAAGGCCAGAAGCCTGAAATTGTCATGAAGTGGAATCTACAAGTTCTCTTGAGAAATAAATGCCCCCTGATGGTTATCTTATTCATTGTTCTTTTTTTCTAGTTCTGGAACTGTTATGTTATCCTTTCTCAGATCATGTAATTGCATGTAAATCTGAAATCAACATTGCATTCAGCATTCTCTCAGAATTTTGTTGGTAATATTTAAAATTGCTTACTGCGTGTCCCGTTACCATAAGCACTTGCATGGATGCAATGGGGGTAAACCTCGACTCCTTCTCCAGGTGATCCTCAATCTGCCTTGCATCCCTCCTTATTGCTATCCACTTCTTGTAAAGCTTGGCCTAAGTTTCAGCCATCTCCTCATGTCCCATACTCCTGCTTGGAGTAAGCAAACAGAGAGGGCTGACATTCAGGGTTGTAGACTTAGTCCAAGCTCATGATAGTTCAATATTCAGCTTTTTCTGTCAATTATAAATTTTGTGACTGACACCATGTTAGTCTCCTTTCTGAAGCCTTTTAGTTGGGTCATCATGCAGTGCTTCTCCCAGTAAGCATTGGAGAAACCAAAAATAGTGGCTATTTAACAATTAGACCCGTAGCCTGCAAGGGCTACGGGTTAATAGCCCACGAGGCGAAGCCGAATGGGCTATTGACCCGTGGCCCTTGAGGGCGAAGGGTCTAATTGTTTNTTGTATTAGAGGAGGCAAAATAAATTTACAGAGAAGAAAAATTAGACAGTGAAGTTGTCTTGTCGATAGCGAGTGGAGTATGTCTTTAAATCAGTAAGATGGATTTGTTGTGCTAAATATATGGAAGATAGAAGCTTCAAGATATGAAGGGAACCCATCAATGAATGAAAAGATCCTTCGGGTTGGGGGGAAGAAACCAGGGATGAAAACTTAATTTTGACATACTTGCTATCTGGGCAATCAATCTTGGAAAAAACTGGGCTTAAAATTTTAGGTCATATAATTAGTTTCAAAGGCAACACCCTTCATACATACTGGTAGGAGGATTGTTTTTACTGCTTCTTAATCAGTGCTTGAAATTGAAAAAATATCCAAGTTGTCCTTAAATGCAGGACAACCTAATCCCTGGCTCTGGTTGCCCTTAAAATATTGTATCATTTGTTGCATAATTATAAATGTAAATGATGTGAAGTAAATAACATAAGTGACGCGAAGTGGCATGCAATGGCTTCCTTGAAACATTGTTCGAGCAGGATGTTTGCACTTTCGCATTAGCAATTTAATGCTTAAGAGAAATACAGAAATTCAATGCCTACAGGTTACATATCAAAGACCAGCTGCCAAACATTCAGCAGGGAATGGCAAACAGAATAAAGTCCACTGTTTTTCCAAAGATGCACCATTTGATTACCCTTAATAATGGCCTAGTTCATAACCCTGAAAAAATAGCTAGCTGATTTCAGCTCCGATTAATTAACAGAATTTTCTTACCTGTAAATATATATTGACAACTTGCGAAGTACTTTGCCTCAGAAAAGAATGATAACCTGTGCACGATAAGATTTCAGGGAGGTCTGGGTTTGAAAACATGGCGGTTTGTGGCTTCCATCAATGAATGAAAACACCAGATTTAGACCTTTTATATACCTTTATTTTATTATTCGGTTGGACTTGTTCTTTTGTTATTCGGTTGGACGTGTCATTTTCCTCGGACAACCAGGCCTTTAATTTTACAGAAAAATGGTTGTCTGGAACATTCTTTAGTTGTCTTGGATGACCGGACGACTGCTAATTTCGAACACTGCTTAATGTGTGTATCCATGCATATTGACTAAACTAATTTTGGCAGTTTGGTGGATCTTTGTTACATTTGAACCTACTGTTATGGCTTAGCTCCCTGACTCTTCTGTACCTTAGTGTAAAGCGGGGGGTGCAGAAGATAATCAAAAGACTTGTTGTGAGAACTTGGAGCATTTTTTCTGCATAGATTCATATCTTCTATTTCAGAGACTTAATTTTAATATATTACCTAACTACATTTCACAGAAATTGAAACAACATTTACAGCGTACTAAACATGGAAGTAAATCAAGTCAAACATATGGTCGCCAATCTCCCCTTCACGGTGACCACACTGCCATTCCAGCCAGCAGGCTTCCACAGTCAATTCCCATCTCAATCCCTATGACATCAAGACCATCAGAAGGGCCACAGAAACGGAGTTTGGAGGGCCTTAACTCGGAAATACAGAAACTTGTGTTAACAGATACTCAGACTGAAAGAGTGAGTTCCCTTTATGTTGTGAGAATTTGGAGAGAAATTTTTATGCTCTATTGATATTATGGAAAACTTTTCTTTTGTGGTTTCACACTTTGAAAATCCAAATACACCAAAATGGTTTAGGTTGAAGTAGAGCCTATAGAATACAATGTAGTTGGAAATTACCATTTTTACACTGCCTCTTTTGGCTGTGTGTGTAAAACTGATCATGTGTTTGGAAACTTTTACAGTCAAATTACTGTTGAACAACAGCCCTATGAGATATACATGTTTGGAAAGGGCTTGAATATATTTCATGTTTCATGCAGCTGATTCAGGGATAATGACGGTTGTTGTTTTGTGCCAGAATCTAAACAGGTCTGTTCTTTAGCAGGTAATGGAGCAAATACCAGATGGCCGTAAAGCTCCTGTGGTAGAGATAATGTCTGGAGTGGGACCTTTTCGCACAGTAGATATTCACACACAGACATCTGCTGACAACCAGGAAGGTCAAGATAGTGGTGGGAGTGGCAACAGCAGCAGTAGAAGTCATTCTGCATCTCCAACATACCCCATAATGCCTGGAGCATCTGATTCACGCCCATCATCAAGGTGTTCATCTGGAGGAGCTGCAGAAGCTGAAGAGAATGTATCTCCTGAGCTTCCAGTTGGTCCTAAATATGCATCCTCACCTAAGCCCAACAATTCGTACCTCTTTGCAAGAGAGCCCCCTGATGGAGCTGAGAAGGTGCCTTTGCACGTTGAAGATGCAGACAGGTAGGTATTGCACAAAAGGCCCATAACTCTGGCTCATTGGTTTTTTTCCTCTGTAGTATGAAGTTACCTGCTGACAATTAGTCATTACTTTTGCTGATTTTGTTGTTCTTCCCTTTCATTCAGGGCCACATCACCCTTGTTTCTTGGGCCAGACAAGACAAAGGTGAAAATCATCAACATCAGTGCAAGGTCAGCTTTCTCGGCCTTCTCTGCCCTTCCCTCATACCCCAAGATGGCAGTCACTTCTCCAGCAACTGCCAACCAGCAGCTGTCACACCTGGAAGCCTCTCAGTAAACATGGAACTGGAGGACAGGGACAAGACAAAAGACCATGAAATCTGACATGGTGTGGTCAAACCATTAATATCTAAAGTACTTAAATAAATACTCTAATTTATTGCCTCATTAGCATTAAGAATGACAACCACGGGTTCTCCTCAGTGATCTTCATGTGTATTTAATTTAAATCCTTTCATCCCCTTGTTTAATTATCTAGCTATGCCTAATTTATGAAAAGCTATTCTAACTATTTTAACTGACAGATTTTGGTCAAGTGCATAGTGTTGGGTGTGGAATTGTTTGGTAACTTGGTTAAAAAAAAAAACGGTTTAAATATTCTACAGCGTGTCTCCTTTTTACTGGATTAAGGTGGCCGTTCTAGGTGTTTCTTTTCCAGTGTTCTGTGTTTTGTTGGTTTGTATAGCAAGAGGAGAAGTTTTGATTGTATCCAGAGTACTTGTTTGTCAAGGTCCAGTATTTTGTGTAATATTAATACAAGGGTCTTCAAAGAAGGAGGAAAGATATAGGTATATTACAGCAATGTCAGTTAAACCTTCTATTACTTAAATGAGAGAAACAAAGTGATACTTTTATTCATTTTGTGAAGAACATGGATTAAAAAAGGTATGACATCTTTGCAAATAGTGAATTTGACCTACACCTGGTCCTTTTTTCAACAAGAACACTCTTTCACTGTTTTTATTTAGAAGAAGACTTAATAGATATCAGTTCTTCATAAGGGTATTGTTAGTTTATTTTGAATACCCTGGCACACTGACAAGCATACAAAATTTTGTTTTAAAAGTTCTTTTCTTTTCGTATGGTAACTTTTTGCATGTTGGATTTCTTTCTCAAAATTTTTCAACAAGTCTCTCTTTAGCCCAAGATTTTGAAGCTTTCTTGAATCCCTTTTTATATAAACCTGACTACCTTTGATGGATCATTGTGTCAGGAGGAGTTGCCTTGCCATTTGAAGATTGTATAGTAACATTATTCAGTTATTGTATTAAGAGAGTGTATCATATTCATAAATATTAAGTGTAACTTAATGAAAACAGACCTTTTGATTATAACACATTAAGTAATTTAGGAGTTTTATATAAAATGGCTATTCAGCATTCATTGACTTAATTCTTAATGTATACTACAGTTCTTGATGTAAATATTTTATGGATTAAGATGACTATATGATACTTGTATATTTTTACACTTAAAGAGACTCAAATCTGTTGTAGATTTTTTGAACTGCGAAGACTGTTCAAGAGTTTGTGTACTGAGACTGACTGGTGTGAGACTTGACCGTATCACTCTTAACTTTGATCTACTGGCTAGACCAGGGTTATCTGCAAACCACATAACTTTTGCCATCAAACTAGAGATAAACTTTATTGCTGGTGAACGTTCTCTTATTTATCATGTGCAATTGCAGTTTTTTGTGGGGAGATGTGTTTTAGTTGTTTTTCTTCAGCGTTTTGAAAGTATTCCCCAGGTGATGGGTGATTTTTCAATATCTTAAGAAACTGGCAATAATTATATATCCATGTCGTAAACTAACTTAGATGCTCTCGACGTTTTAGGAAGAGCATTTCCTTGGACATATATTTTGCTAAACACTTATAATTAATTGCATTCTTATTACCACATACTCGGTACTAATAAATATTGAAACAGAAACTGCATAGTATCCGGTTTTTTTTTTGTTCCATAGTCTTTCACCCTCAAGCTTGATAGACTCTCACTACTAGCTCATTTTGAAAATGAGTGATGGCTTGGGTAGTTGGTCATTGGGTGAGCAAATATGAGAAGAGGGAACACAAAGAGGTGTGAGGAATTTGGTAATTTAAAGTCAAGGGAAGACTAAAAACCAGGTTCCAGATGTTTGAAGGCTGGATAACTCTATCCACCAGGTAAATTGCTATCCACCTTGCTGTCTGCTGGATAGTGATTTCTTGGGTGGATAGCATTGTCCACCCTTCGAACAATCAAGGCCAGAAGCCTGAAATTGTCATGAAGTGGAATCTACAAGTTCTCTTGAGAAATAAATGCCCCCTGATGGTTATCTTATTCATTGTTCTTTTTTTCTAGTTCTGGAACTGTTATGTTATCCTTTCTCAGATCATGTAATTGCATGTAAATCTGAAATCAACATTGCATTCAGCATTCTCTCAGAATTTTGTTGGTAATATTTAAAATTGCTTACTGCGTGTCCCGTTACCATAAGCACTTGCATGGATGCAATGGGGGTAAACCTCGACTCCTTCTCCAGGTGATCCTCAATCTGCCTTGCATCCCTCCTTATTGCTATCCACTTCTTGTAAAGCTTGGCCTAAGTTTCAGCCATCTCCTCATGTCCCATACTCCTGCTTGGAGTAAGCAAACAGAGAGGGCTGACATTCAGGGTTGTAGACTTAGTCCAAGCTCATGATAGTTCAATATTCAGCTTTTTCTGTCAATTATAAATTTTGTGACTGACACCATGTTAGTCTCCTTTCTGAAGCCTTTTAGTTGGGTCATCATGCAGTGCTTCTCCCAGTAAGCATTGGAGAAACCAAAAATAGTGGCTATTTAACAATTAGACCCGTAGCCTGCAAGGGCTACGGGTTAATAGCCCACGAGGCGAAGCCGAATGGGCTATTGACCCGTGGCCCTTGAGGGCGAAGGGTCTAATTGTTTTAGTATCACCCAACTAGTTGGACAGAAAAGGCAATAATAAAGTCAGCAAATGCAAGTTGAAGAAATATTTATTTGGGAATAAAACAAAAGAAAGTGTCATGCTCGATTGCGCCAATTTTGCTACCTGAGGACTATTACTAATAGTCCTCTAATAGCGTAGCCAATTAAAATGCAGGATTTGCATGAGTCCACTAGTTGGGTGATACTAATATGGAGATAGAATCCAGAGGGCATTGCTTATTTCCCTGTCATTTACCCTCAAGAAACCCAAGGGCAGTTTCTGGCAGTGAGCAAAAATTAAAACCACGAGAAAAATTGCTGAAGAAATAGTATTGTTTCAACTGTTGCCTCCTCCACTAACTGCCCCTGGGTCTCTGAGAATGCCTATCAATCAACAACTTGAAACTTGCTAAACAGTAGATTACACCGTTATTCTGTTCAACACTATTTGATATACCCTGCTGATAACATTACATGATGCAACATTTGTTGACCAACAGGTGTATAAATACCTGCACTATTACATTGATTTTCAACATCTACAATTTAAACCACGTATTTTAGACTTTGGATCAAGATGACTCCTAGTCCATAACTTTCTTTATTCTCAGGTCCTTTGTCTGACAGTAGTCTCCCATGGCTATGTCCCAACATTAGTTAAACTTTATTCTGATCAGGTCAGCTCTATAATTTTCACCAATTAGACAGCAGGTGATTTGTGCTCATCGTTACTTGTGTATTGATGTCCTTTAAACACGGAATGATGTACACAAATATTCATGTCACTTGATTAATTAATTTAACATGTTTTAGTACATATTCATCACAAAATGTTTTTAGTGCTCAACATTAAGTATATGAAAGGTTCAAAATTATAAATAATTATTGACGAATGCAATTTCATTTTTATTTATTATTTCTTGGATAGATCTAAATTATTCACAGCTTTACACTATATAAATTTACGATATGATGAGAATGATATGATAATATATGTATATCATAATGTAAGAAATAACAAGTCCATACATGAGAGTGGCAAAGGGTTTTTGCGTGACACATGATTGCCCCAAAATTAGTAGCGTGATTGAGACCAAAATAGCTGCGTGACACAGGACAGGACATAATAATGTGATGCGTGATTTGCTATTTTGCAAGCACGTGACGCATGATTTACCAATTAGATTTCCGTGATAAGTGAACGTTCTTTGAACTAGAAGGATACCATTCATTCAAAGTAAATAGTAAATAGAGTCTTAAAGAAGATCAATAAATCGTGGCAGACGTGACACCATTTTCTGGTCTTTTTCGTCCTTTTCTTGACCTCTGGTGTTTTTTATCTTTGTGGATGTTCATGGTAGTGTAGGTCCAAACAATTGTGATAACAACAACAACAACAACAACAACAATCTTTATGACACAATAGTCACAACAGGAATATGTCAATTGAAAACGGCTAAACTTTGCACAAGGACTATGAGCTTCAGCGCTATTTTTGTCCATTTTGTACACGGATCATTTTTGGCAGTGCATCAGACCATATCTGAATCTGGGTATTGTATGAAAGGTCTAAAAGAATGTCCCAAATGACTGAAATGATAAGAGATGATAGAGTTTGGTATCATTTCATGCTGCTTGAGGAGACAGTTGTGCAAGCAACGAGAGACTACACAAGGAATAAGTTTGTGTACCACTATTATAAAGGCCATGTTACATTGTAACATGGCTTAAAATTGTGAAGCGCTTTAGAATATTTTATAATTTTAGCGCTACATAAATCTATTATTATTATTATTATTATTATTATTATTATTATTATTATGATGTCATTTACAGACATAGAAATGTTGCTGTACAGAAGGAATTTCCACAGGTAAAGCTTTGACACAAAGTTATAGGGGAAGGGAAAAAACAGGCAGGCAGAGATAGCTGACAATGGTCTGGAGAGGGAAAATCTCACCCTGCTAGGCTCGCCCTATTTTATTTTTTATTTTTTGCACTCATCAGGAGTCTGTTCACAGATGATGCCAACACTCTCAGGTTATCCAGGAGGCTCCTGGATACAGAATGAATTTCCCGTTCTCCTGTACGGGTCATCACTTTTATTTTGGCCAATAAATTATTGTTATTTTTAGTTGAAAGTGTTTGGAATATTTGCCAATGCATTTCATTGGCTGAATTGGCAGAGTTCTCCTTTTGACAACACTTTTAGGGCTGAGAAGGTAAAATTGGTGATGTACTTACTTCTTTTTAGGAGATGCGTGATTAGTGAAAAAAATTATGCGTGATGCGTGATTTAATAGAAAAATTCAGTGTGATGCGTGATTGGTACCCCCCTTTGCCACCCTCATACATTTTCCACAATTTAAAAATCAACAGTTGAACTCTGTTTTACAGAGAACTGCTTATCACTAGATACCTCTTCACTGCAGATAGCAGTTTTGATCCTTAGCTATTACTGGCCATCTTGTTGATGTAGGGACTTTCTAATGTCTCTACAGTGATTGTAACTACATCTATCACTCAGAAGAGGCAAGTTAGCATAAAGTACAATACGATGGCAGTTTTGAACTGAAAGTGGAATTGGTTCAAAGATGGCTTCGAAATGCTGTTTCCTTAAACTTATTGTTATCATTAATAACTGTAAATCAGATGAGATTCTGTAAGTTAGCTGTATAATCCAGTAAGTGATCATAGTTCCACTCGTCATACCACCGACAGCTACCCTGCTTGTACTCGTCACAAGACACTCTGGGCTGATAAGCTCCACGTTTAGGTAACATTGGCTGCTGGGGACGTTTTCCAAGAGCTGGGAAATTATGATAATAGTACCTGTTTTAAAAGAGGATACATCCATTACAACACACACTTGCAAGAAAAGACAGCTGCAATCGGTCAGTGTAAAAAGCAAACTGAAGATTGAGGGTAAAAATGCAGACTGCAGACTATCATGTTATTTTCATTATTGAGTGCTCACTGTAAACAGGGTTATTCAGGCTGATCAGAGTAAAAGTCTGAACTCCAGTTAGCCTGAATAGCACTATGGTTAGACTGAATAATGTTCCACGGAGTTAGCCTGTTTATGGTTAGTTCTCAGTGATGGAAATGGTAACACAATTCAGTTAAAAAGTCTGCAGTCTGCAGTCCACAGTCTTCATTTTACACTGATCAGAGCTGAAATTCTCTCTTAACTCAACACCTTTGTGGAAGGGAACTGTTTTGTTTGAAAAAGGTGTATTTCTCATTAAAGGGAGGGTTTCACAGCTTAGCCCAAATGCAAGCTTCAATGCTAATAATTCAATTTCATTATTTATCAAACAATTGGAAAGGTCCTGATAACTCTTGTGGGAAATTTGCCTTTGAAAATTTCTCGGTCAGTTGCGAAAATGTGACAGTATACCACTAGGTGAGATTTCTCAATATTTAATATTCCTTTTGTACATTCTGACTCCATACATTAAGTATATTTTGGTTTTTGTATCAACCACATAATTATATCTCTATAATTCTGGGAAAGAAGTACGGTAGCCTTTTTGTAGCAATACATTTACACCAAATCTAGCAGAATTACTGACGTCCAAAATTCAGAGAAGATGTCACTGCATTTACAGAAGAAATGTTGAATTCAGTATTGAACATCAAATTTATTATTAGGCCCAATGGTTTTACTCTAGACTGGATGTACACAGAATTTATCTACTTGCATCTGATTGATATATAAACAATGTTTTGTTAACAAAATGATGGCTGCTTCTTTGTGTTAACTATTGAAATGTTTTGCACGACGAGTAGATTTATACTTTTAAAACAATTAGATTATTTGCTCTAGATTTCTATGCTTGATAGTTGACTTGGGCAGTGTGCTCACCAGCTATCATGTGATGGAAATCTTGGGCTCATAATCTAATTGTTAATTAGTGCACTACATTGATTTAAAACAATGCAAAACTCACCATCTTTGTATGATAAACTTATGTCCTTTGACGACCTTTGCAGCATTGTGAAGAGATGTGGGATCACATTCTCCACGAGAGTTCATACTGTTCCAAATGAGGGCAAGTCCTTTACGAGGCTTCACGCTGATTCCCAATTGAGGGAACTTCGTTTCTCCTCCTTCCTCAACATCTCTTAAGTACACCAGTATAGTGGCAAATCGATCCCGCTTGTCATTGTACTCAACAACACAGTCTGTGTGATTCTTGTAGCCTACAACAGTTTGTTGGTAAATCAAATACTTTAAATTCATATCAGTCTGTACAATTTGAACTTTTTTTGTACACAGAACCACAATCCCTTCACTTCAGTTCTTAACTTACCAACATTTTGTGGATATGATGTGATTTGGAACTTCCCCCCGTTTTCGAGTCTGAGTCCTGTTGCCTTCCGTATTCTTTCAGCAAACACTGTAGAAAATTTGCTCTCTCCTGGATAAAATGCCGTGCTATAACTCCATTTGAAATGTCCCTGCAGTTTAGCAGAAAATGTCTCATTGATACAGGTTGTACCATCGGTGAAATCATTCAATGACACTTTCATTTTAAGCTTCGCATCTTTCAAGTATTCTCGGAAAGATTTGATGCTGTCAAAGCAGATGATTGGGACTTGCTTGTTCAGCTCGGACACATGACGGCTGTGAACCATAACTAGACTGTCACATTCAGTATCGCTAAGGAAATGCTCTATTACATATGCACGGACAGTACTTTTGGAGTTGTCATGATAAAGTGGTTGGATTTTCATTTTTTGATCATTTTCTTGGAGATTTTTCATCTGCAACTTGCTTTGAATTGATAACTTGAAATCTTTGAAAAACTCAGGAATCTTTTGTGCTCCTATAAGAAATAGAAAGTAACAAAAATTGGAATTAGATAGAATAGGAATCTACAACCATTTTAAATCTTGCGATGATTCTAGACTAATTTTTTGTGCTATTTTTTCTGTAATAAAGCTTCAAAGATGAACTGCACATTCCTATAAATAATGTACAGTGCTTTTACTATTTTATGTTCTGTTCAACATTATTTCTCAATTTATCAAGAGTTTGGTCATTGCTTTTTTACATTACAAAGTGCACTTTGTCCTGAGTACTCTTGATATCCATGTTCACTTTATAATATAATTTTGAAAACTGAAGATGATGCAAGCAGGTGAAAAGGATCATTTTAGGAGAAT